CAGGAGGAGGGGACTTGTCTTACAACGTCGTTGCCAAGCGACGAAAACCCAACCCCGATGGCAAACACCGGGGGGGGCGGGGGGGAGCTATTCGCGGAAAGGTGTTCCTCGCAACAGTCCGCTCGGAAATAAAGAAACTACTCTCCAGGGAAGTTCGGGACGGTGTGTCGGCGGAGGCTGCTTCCGACCTGGTCAACTTTGCTGCCAGCTTTGTGCAAATATTGGACGGAGAGCAAATCGACCCCATCCTACCGGTAAGCGCCGACCTGAAACGAGTGGGGGGGTACCTAACCCGGCTGTTGTGTCGAACGAGGTCTAGACTACACTCCAACTTTATTTTTCTCAGTGGACAACCTTAACTACTGAGAGCTTCGTCGAGTAAATGCTACCGGATGATTGCTAATAGAGTAAGAACGACAGATGCATGCGACGAGAAGTACGGCATGGAGGGAAACGTTCTTGCGACAGGCTCTGCGCCAATGTCATATGTTTTTCGGCGCCCACACCATTTGTGCGCGATCGTACTATTCCAGGGCTATGATGGACCTTTGGGCGAGTTTGTGGATCCTTTGGCAGAGGCTCTGTGCAACGGTGCCGCGCCAGTGGACGGTGGACGTAGGGGAAAGCCGGTGATGATTTATGGCGATGGGGCTTGTTGCCCTACTGCTGCTGGGCTGGGTATCTTCGGTGCCAAATTCTCAACCCCCCAAGAGGCCCTGGGGATATCGCTAGCAGTTCGCTGCGCGGCAGTTCGGACGGCTTTGCAGGACATGGAGAAGTTCATCGCCGGTACTGCTACGGTAGCACTTTTTGGCCCATCATCTTGTCGTATATGGATTCTTCAGAATGGATGTTCTAACATCAACTCGGAATTTGAACTTCAGTGGTGTTTCATGTAGCCGTTTGGAAGACTTCTCGCGTCGTACGCTCATATGGTAACAGTGTCCCTTCCAGGCTGAGATACCGAGCTAGTAACTTTGAAGACTCAGATACAATTCACGCACCCCTACATGCATGAAACAGGTAGTTTCGGTTGACACCGACGTTTGGATGGCAGCTCTCCTGGCGTACGCCGTGCATCCGTCGACTCGGGACGTGCGTATCATCGTGCGACAACAGAGCGGGGTGACCGGAAACACCTACGTCAACTGCATCGACGTCCTGAAGCTTTTCCAAGATCTTTCGGCAATGCGAAATTGGCCATCTTCGTTCACCAATTTGCAGAGGGTGCTACCGATAGTCTCCGCATTTGTTCTTGACGGGACTGACTTTACTCCAACGCTTAGTGGCTTGACGGCATCGAGTATGTTCCAAGCATACTCGACGCGCTGAAGGATGCCGGCAACCACAACGTTGTTCTGCCGCTGGTTTCCGAGCGACGTGAGGGGGGGTCGGTATCTGGTGTAGACTGGTCAGAGAGGAATTGGTGAAGTTTGTCTCGCTAGCGTACTTTACAAAACATCGCACACTCTTTGTGAACGTCCTTCCGGGACGCCAGGTAAGGTCGGAATACCTGGAAGGGCAGGTCGATGACGTAGGGCCATGGGTCCAGGCCATCAGCGACCGCACTACCGAACATGGTTTTGGGAAGGAGGACATTAAGGCTCCTGCCCCAAATTACGACGTTATTAACAACTGCGTGCTACGCATGGAATGGGTGGTGGGGTATTGGCTCTCGATTGTGCCCGTCTCTTCCGAAAATGTGTCCGCCATGTATCCGATTCAAATTCCCGACTGGAATGGCAAGGCGTACATTGCGAATCCGGAGTGCGAAGGGGGGGCTTTGCTAGTGTTGCGTGATTTGCCGAAGGTGACCCTCTGGGCGGGTGTAGGAATTCACATCGTGTCGTGCAGGTGTTCATCTGAGAGGGGGAAGGGTCAATGTAGGGGCTGGGGTTTGCATGCAAAGGGGTGGTCCAGGTCGTTGTTCACAGTTGTGTAAGTGNCGTACATTGCGAATCCGGAGTGCGAAGGGGGGGCTTTGCTAGTGTTGCGTGATTTGCCGAAGGTGACCCTCTGGGCGGGTGTAGGAATTCACATCGTGTCGTGCAGGTGTTCATCTGAGAGGGGGAAGGGTCAATGTAGGGGCTGGGGTTTGCATGCAAAGGGGTGGTCCAGGTCGTTGTTCACAGTTGTGTAAGTGCAACCTTGCATGCCTTGAGGAACAAAGCACCTTACCCAGGGTGCAGCGAGGGTCTACACCTGAGGAAGTACTGCCCGACGATGATGATAGTGGCAGCGAGTCCGAGTCTGATGATGATCAAGACTCGCCGATGGTAGAATGTTTGGGTGGTTTCGAGAAAGAAGGGCATTCGTCGTTTGGGGTGGACACCGGTGTGTGTGGATTCTCCGAAGAGGATGCGCGAGAGTACGAGGAACAACTCGCCAACGAGGGGTCGGGCGGGGGTACGCAGCAGCGGGTGGTGTTGTCGACTGATAGTATGGCGGCGCCGAGTAACGAGATGTCCGATTGATAATTGATAATATTTCGTTGTATTTCTTGCTACAAATACTTCGAAGTATGTTATCAACAGGACGCGGATCCAAGCACAGCAAACAAATATTTGGGGCTGTTCTTCACATGACACCACCCGCTACAACTGCTTTTGGTAGTACACACAAAACTAACATAGGCACACACGCTCCGATGTCGCGGCAAGCGCGGCGTGCGCCTCATGTCACAAAGGGAAGCTGCCGAAGACGTCAGTGAGAAACACCGGCGCACATACGAGAGAGTCCTCGCCACCAAATAACAGCACTGACCCTCATATACTCGAGTCGGGTACGTGTTGCCGGCAAATCGCAATCACAGTAGTACATTTCCCTCATTCCTAGCGCACTCATGAATTGCTCGTGCGCATTACCGTTCAATGTTGGGACATCGGCTTGTGGGGTCTACCGCAAGGGGCGCGCCCTCTGACACCTAAGGTCAGCGGTCGGACTGACCTGAAGCCTGAGCGTAACATAGAAAAAAAGAACGGGTCCATGCGCGATTTCGTCCTCCCGGACTCTCAACTCAAAACACCCATTCTAACTAGGAACAAATAAAAGCTTCGTGCTATCACTACTACTATATCCACTACCAGGAGGGTACCACACACCCCAAAATTCGCCCACCCTTACGTGGGCGGGTTGGTACCGGGCCCTGCTCATCATCATGCATAGAGCCGGGGGGTTCGCCTGAAGCCAACCTGCTCGGTCGGCACAGGGTTCAAGAAACGACAGCGGCAATTCAGCGCCACGCCTTTCTTCGCCACCGTCAACGCCGCCTTGACAAAGGCCAGCGCACCCTTGTACGGGGGGCTCGTCACGACCCATTCAGGTTCTTGCCCGTGGGTGTGCTGCCAGGAAATCGTCCGTAAATGACGCCGAGCTCGCGTCCAGGTTCGTGTCCGGAGACAACCTTGAAAAAAAAACCAGGTAAATAAACAGGAGGGATGCAAAGGGCGTCAGAACATAGGACAACACTGACGCACTTACACACGTGCTTTTCCCCTTGTTTCCTAGGAATAAAACTTGCTCTGGAAGGTTAGAACAACACCAAGGCGTTTGGACCACACCAAAGAAAAAAAAAAGGCCGCCGTCACTGTCGGTCACCCGTAGACTACGAATTCCCCCCACATGCTTTGGCCTCAATCGGATACAGTCAAGCTTGGGTTGCTCCATATGCGTGCACCGCAAGCAACATCTGTGCCTGGCAAAAACTCGGTTTGCGGCATTTCGTTTCCACATGTAACCTATCTGCGAAACTTCAACGATAAAAAAGGGTACATGCAAACAAAGAGCGGACTCATTTACGGCAGGTCCGCTGGTGCGAGCCTATCTACGACGTGGACCTGCACGAAACAAGGAACCGTAAGCTTGGAGCAGATTGCACAACTAGGTCCGTTGAATGCAACTCAGCATCCTTCAAAAAAGATTGATACTACTGCTGTCAATTCGCCTAGCCGGCTCGACGTTGACAGGCACATGTACAACGGCGTCGTCCACACCAAGAGGCAAACAGCGTTGATCATGCGCCTACGAGTGGCCTCATTTCGTGCTGGGGAGTTCAAGGGAATGTTACGCTAGAACACCCAGCGCTGTGGAAAGAGCAGGAAGGGTGTCTATCTACTTCTCACCGCAAGCACACAAAAAAAGCGCGTCATCCCCTCACCTCGGTCGCACATCGTTCGTGAGTACTTGGCACGTGTCTCGAAGGCGAATCGCTACAGCATCATCCGTCCCCCCGCACATGTCCAGCACACAACCGCTAATGCTAACAACACCCAGCAAAGCCTCCAACGCCGCGGGCGAAGTGCAGTAGCGATCAAAACACCGGCGCTTCAGCTGCTTGACAGGTTCAGGAGCGCACGTCCACTTCGGCCCTCGCTTTGCTCGGCGTTCGGTAGGCGCCCTGCTCTCCCTTTGCTGGTTCAGTACGAACAGCTCCAACAGGCAACCCGCACGTTTACATAGGACGAGCTTGCCTATGCTTGGATCGCCGCACTTCAAGCCGGGGAACTTGTCTCCCATGCCGGCTGCCTCCAGGAAAGCCCGGACATTACCTCCGGTCCTTTCTCTCATACAGCGAAAGTCAACTCTTGCCGTTGGTTGCTGGCACGCGCTGCAGCATTCCTCCGACATCACCCTGTCCGACCAAAGAGACGGAAGCAACATTCTACGTGTTTATTTGGGAGCTTAATGTGAGGGAAAGTGAACCAAGGGCACACACACAGCATTCTGTTACTTTCATGGCTAAACCAGCAGTACAAGAGAGGCACGGGGGCCTCTTAACCTGCTGTACTGGATAGCAGCGGTGCAACCCAACCCGCGTTCTGGCAAGTTCCGCCGCGTTTTTGGAGGCACATCTGCTACACCGATTTCGCGCGCTGTAGTACTGATCCCAATTTGTGCATATCTTCTATTCAATCTACATCTATGGACCCGGTCAGCTGCCAGTCCAATCGCTGCTGCAGAGCACGTTTTGATGGTAACCAAATTGGCTGAAAGTTGCCTGGCAAACCCGGTGTCACCGTGGTCCAAAACTTTCCTCTTGTGCCCTCAAGCCATGTACCCCTTTCTTTTTCCACCTTGCCGATATGAAAAAACCAATGAACCTCTCACCGGTGTATTACACAACTTGATCGAAGTTCCCGCCAAGTTTCGTGCCGATCCGAGGTGTTTGTGTGGAGCCCTGGGCTGGTGAAAAGGTGGTAGCAGTGGTGACCCTGGGGGTGCCAACGCGGGGGGATATTGTACGCTTTCCCCACTGAAACCCGCGGCGTTTTTTTTTGTCTGTTCATATTTTTTGCTTTTCTATGGGCGCGAACACGTGTGTGCTACACACAAAGCTGCAGTACCGTGGATGAGAAAGAGAGGAGGGTTGTCACTGCATGCAGAGCGAGCCTGCAAAATCCCTGAGGCGTCCACGGTAGTTTCTCATAATTCGCGCAGCGCTGTGTGAGCGGCGGGATCGCCTTTGAGCGTGGTTGATGGATTGAAGCAAGACACGGAGAGATTCCACTTTCAACACCCTGTTCTTTGCAACCACAGGTAGACGCGGAGATAGAGAGGGGGAGGGCCAGCGAGAGGGAGAGAAAGTGGCAAGGGAGGAGGTCATGGGGAGCCCGAACAAGATAGCGTCCATGGTGGGGAAGATCAAGGGAAACCTCCCCGCTTCTTTGCAGCCGTGGGCACTCAGCTTGATGTTCAACTCGCAGGTGCAGTTGAGGGTCGGCCTAATTATCATCCGAATCGGCACATTGGGCCCATCGGCATTCGCGGTGTCCTGAAGGCCTGCTTTAGCGCCGTTGCAGATGCACCGTGATTGAACGACCGATCAGGAGGTCCCTAGAAAGGTTTTTGGCGACAAAGGGCTTGTGCTGTTATGTGGGTATTTTCCACGACCCAGATATACATACCGAATCGAAAGTGGAGCCTTCAACCCAAATGCGGCGGAATTGCGGTCGGGAGGTGACGCAGTCACCACGCCGAACCTCCACTTCACGCTCTCATCTCGTCATGATCATGATCATGTTTGGTATTGTTGTCTTGAACACAGAGCGAGATCTGTGCACCACGCGGAGCACATGTTTATAAATCGGCACACCCCGCATGCAGCTGCATAAGCATGAGAGGTGGTGCCAATGGTCCAAGCCCAATCCTTCCGCTCAAGCAACGAGCCGTATGATAACAAGTCGGTGACAAAGAAGATGGTGACAGGTTTTCAATCCTGTGTTTTGCCTTTCAGGTGAAACTGGCCGGCACTGCGGGCGTGCGGGTGGAGGAGCTCACGCCCCACCGATCCGTCGTGAAAGTTGCCAACGTCCGACGAGTGAGTGAGGCTNAAACTGGCCGGCACTGCGGGCGTGCGGGTGGAGGAGCTCACGCCCCACCGATCCGTCGTGAAAGTTGCCAACGTCCGACGAGTGAGTGAGGCTGAAGTATAGCATTTGTGGTGGAGTAATTCAGTGGAGGTCCTCGTGTAGTGCCGGTATGTGCCCAGAAAAACCACCGGCACTATACCGGGGCCGGCACAACAGTGTTTAAAATACTCGGAATGGCATGGAAATTCAACGTGTGCCCGCCGAAAATAGCGGCACCTCTTCAACCGGCACTGAACACCAAACAGGGATCTCTATGATACAGTACTGCTGTAGCAGTATAGTGGGTAGTAGTACAATAGTTGCCGCTGCTGTTGGTGGGAGTGTTAGTGTGTAGTAGGTGGCGGTGGTCGTGACGTTGCTGCCATTGCCTGTCGTCGTTGTTGTTGCTGTAGTTGTTGCTGAGGCTTGGTGTGTCACGCCGGTTCTGCTCGCTGTTGGAAGTGGCCTGTTCTCGCTTGCTACCACTTCTGTTGCTCTTCCGAACGAAGCGCATCCAACTCCACATCTATCTATGCTGTCCAGTCATGGCAAGTAATCAGCAATGTCATTAAGCACACTCTCGCGCGTGAAATACGAGTTTGTTTCCAACCACGAAAAAAAAACATTGTCTACGGCACCAAAAATGTGTAGCACTTAAAAGTGATCGCGGTGTTCACAACGACGGAATTGTTTTTGGCAATCCTAGACGCAGAACCGCTTCGGGGCTGTCCAGTCATGGCAACTGAACAGCAATGCCATTAAGCACACTCTCGCATGAAATTCGAGTTATTAACCACGACAACTCATACAGTTAGCGCGGCCATTGAAGAACCTCATATTTAGGCCGAGGTTCGTTTCTTGTCTTCTCTAGTCTATGGGGTAACCCAACGGCGACTACAATACTAGGTTTTTGCGTGGGCTTTTTCACCAAGCCCTGTTCTTATGACCAAGTCATTCAAGTTTTCGTTTCTTGACCCGCAATTTCGTAGCTCCCAGGTCCTTATTTGCGGGCGCTATATATAACTGTATGGCACCAACGATCGCGGTGTTCACACCGACGGATTTTTTTCGTCGATCCCAGATGCAGAACCGCTTCGGGGCTGTCCAGTCATGGCAACCGAAGAACGACAGCATGAAGCACACGCTTTCTACTTGTGACTACAATCCATGTAATATGTGATCGTGGTGATAACTATGTCGGAATCGATTTTGTCGATCCCAGCTGCACAACCGCATCTGAGCTGTCCTGTCATGTCGATTGAGCAGCGACGACATCCACACGGTCTCGCGCCAAGAAGATCAAATCTTGTCCACCACCAATACTCATGAACCAACAGGTAGAGCCAACCAAAACAGGGGACCATGAGAGAGAGCGGTGTCTTCACCGTCGGAATGTTTTGTTCGTCGATCCCCCAGTAGGCGCAGAACCACATCCGTGAGTAGCCCAGTTATGGCAACTGAAGAGCGACGACACTTGCTGCCATCAAAACATACCAAGTAGGACGTAATTATGCTTGTACTGTACCAACAAAGTACGGATTACGAACGCGGTGTCTTGATATTATCGATCTTGCCGATAGGTGCAGAACCATATCGGGAGCGTGCACGCGTGCGGCATGGCTCTCGCCGCGGAATCAGCCACGGGAATCCTGGTCGGCATGAGCGTGCCCGACAGCCGGCTGCCCTTGTGCAAGAGCATGGCGATCGATTTCACAAGGCTGTCGCAAGGTATGGTAGACTATGTCTTGTTTATATGATAGGGAAGGCCGCGCCTTCTTCGGCGATGTCCTCTATGATGTTGATGCGGTCGAGTTCACAAGGCTGCCGCAAATTCGGGGTTTTTTTTAACAGTGCCACTATCTTCTTTGAGTGTCCTCGTTGTCGTTGATGCGATCAACTCCACGAGGCTTGCGCACAGCGCGTGTTCTTATTAGGCCACCTCTTCCTTGCGATGTCATCAATTACGAAATGTAACACACGCCTTTGCTACCGGCACCAGGCGACGTAACGGCCGTGGCGGAGCTAAGCGAAGAGCAGCTCGCCAGCCTTCGAGACCAGGAGAAGGGGGAGGCGAATGTACAGGTACCGTAGGTTGCGTGGCGTGAGATACCGCACCCTCTGGACTGTCGTTGCCTTTTTTTTGAGACTGCAGATTTGTGATTTCTGATATTTTGGTTCGATGAGGCTCGCTGAGCTCTTCGAGTCGAAACACGTCAGCTGTGTGACCTCTTCGAGCTTGGGAAACAAACGTCACTGATGGCAGCTGGCAGGTGATTCACACAAACACACGCTTCGCCTTCACGCCTTTTATGACACTACCACCACAAGTACGCTCTGATGAGCCCGTTCCGGAGGCACACCTTGGAGGAAATGTTCAAACGCCTAAAACCAAGCAAAATACTCGAGGAGAGACTGTCCGGTCTAGAAAAAACCACAGAGATCAAAGGGGGTGGGTTGAAGTATTTTGCAGTGACTGTGAGAAAAACCGACTGGATACTGGGCTTACATTGAGCCTATTTTTATCCTCGCGCTGATTGTTTTTGACAGTGATGCCAGCTGGTGCTAAGCGATAGGGCATATTTGTTCCGTTTTTGCTCTCTTCCAGGTGACGGTTACAGATGAATCCGGGAAAGAGCCTATCCGAGCGGAATTCGTGTGGGCCTGGGTCCCCAAGCGACGGAAATAAATAGTTAGTAGTAAAAGAGAGCCAGAGAAAGGGTTGTGAATAGAAAAATGTTGAATAGTCGGTGGAAACGGCCACGCTGTGTGGGTACTAAGGATAGCGAGAATGGTGTATGGAAACAGCAATGAGATTCGTTCTGGGCGTTGCTTTGTTTGCCAGAGGGCGCCCGGGGGGGGTGGGGGGTGGGGTGGGGTTGGGGGGGTCCCCTTCCTCTGAGCCGCGTTAGGCAATTGTTTGCTGGAAGTTGGGAACGTTCCTGAGATGGACGGCTTGGGCTGCTTGTCGTACCGAGTGTCGTCGTCGACGTTGTTGCTGTTGTTGTTGTTGTTGTCTTTTGGCCAATAAAAGCCACTCAGGTCTTTCCTCATGTCCGTGCCGAGCGGGTGGTCCAACTTACCCGTGTAAAAGGCGAAGAAACCGGTGATCGTTGTGGCATTCCCTCGTGCTGCTCAAGTACCAGGCTACCGCGTGCAAAAGTAGCGCAAACCTTGCGCATATGTTCGCGTTGTTTTGGAAGTCGGCTGGTAGGTACGAATCACGTGTAGAGGTGGACGCCAATGCCGCGGCAGTTGTCATCGACGGCAAGCGTCTGGGGCACACGGGGCGCAACCCTCGCTGCCACCGCCGTCGGCACCGCCCCTGCCTTCGCCTCCACTCCTCCCTCTGCCCCCTTTTCTGCCTAGATCCACGAATTGGATACCGTCGTGGCCTGAAGTAGAAAGATGGTTTGAAGGAAAACGCGAGCGGCATCGGCTCGAAGAAGCTCAAGTGCCGCAAGGTTGCCGTCTCACAGGCGTGGCACTGTTGATAAGACGCAGGGTCACTACAGTTAGCGCCCCTAAAAACGAAAATACCTTGAAGAAACGAAGGCTCAGATTCTGGCGAAACACAAGAAAAATGAACTTTGCAAACACACCTCAGCCGTGGATCCTACACTTGAGCTCTATCTGACGACCTATCCTCGGCGGTGGGGACGAAATGAGAAATTGAGCCTCGACCCCCAATTTGACGTTTTTCTTAAGCTGGCGCTAGCTGGGCTACTGCGTACTCCCTGATTATTTGTGTGTTTGTGTCAATTTCATCAAGTATGGCCTCATCAGTACAATGGAAGTGCATCGTTCGCCAATTCACGTAGTACCGGTAAGAGGCGGAGAGTTGGCACCCCCCTATAGCACCGATTTTCAAACCTCGATTGCGTTCACAACCAAGACTGATTGTGCCAACGCCAAAAGATGGTGGTTTTGGAAACATCTCGTCAAGAGAAATCCGTTCATTACGTGTCAGGCTATTTCCACATCCACTTGTTTGTGGAGCAATCGATCTTTTCGGGTCGGTCTAGGGGGGGGTACCATCTCTCCGCTTCGTGCGGTGGTCAGTGATGGCGAGGAAACTTACTTGCTGCGTCGTTGGCAATAGTCCAAATGTGCCTTTCTTCCCCCCACCAAACAAAGGAAACGAATTGCACACTCTCTACGCTCAAATGAGGAGGATCGGTGAGGACGATCATTGCTGGTGTGTACGTAGTTGAGTGTGACGGCTGTGTCATCCATGTAATTGATGGGAGGACAGCACACACTTCATTGAGTAGCTCAGCCTCCCCGTGNATGTACTCAGTTGAGTGTGACGGCTGTGTCATCCATGTAATTGATGGGAGGACAACACACACTTCTTCATTGAGTAGCTCAGCCTCCCCATGACGCCCCCTCACGGGGTCCCAGATCATGGCCTTGAGAAGCATTTTATTTTTCATGTTTTGACCCGCACCGAGACTGACGACGTGTTTTTCATTTTATGTCACCCTCACGGTCACGCTAATAATAGCAATACTTGAATCAAACACATCAATCCCCGCTCTGCCATGTGGTTGACTCCATGCAGATTTGTATGAGTACTCTACATGCATCTTCGGCTTCTTTCAGTCTCGTTGCACTCAGGGGTCTGTCTGGTGTAAACGCCCCCCCCCCCCGCCCGTTTTGGCGGTAACCATAATGGTGGTCGAGTAGATAATGTTGTGCGGGGTGGAAGAGCCTCACTCCGCGCAAGGGGGATGATCGCATCACGTTGTGTAAAAATGGTCAAGCACCCTCGAGGCAGTTACACAGTGCTTACAACTGTCTCAGGAAGTGAAAGCACCAGAAAATAAATTAAGTCATACGCAGCTGTCATTCGTACGCAAGGAAGTAAGCACAAGATGCCGAACACCCTTAGCAGGATGCAGCGCACCCTCTATGCGACTCGCCGAATATCTCACGGCGCTTCGCGCTTGGTGATGTGAGAGCCTGGTCCGGTGAGAACCCGGCGTGCTCCGTGCCGGCTTTGTAGGGATGCGAGGTCAATGGTCTAACGACTACGGCATGCACGACTATGAGTACAGCCCCCCCACCCCCCCTGCCCGTCAGTTAATGCTAGCATGTCGCCCGCGTATTGTGACGCGCAAATCTTACCCCCCACATGAACGATGGGTTGTTTACTTGATGGTTGAATTTCACTTCTATGTGCATGTAGGTGGAAAAGACATTCGCTTGTAGACTACCGTTGATGCTGTACACATCGTTCTTTCTTCCCCTGCCTCCGCTTACATATGCTCTTGATGCACGTCAGCGGGATTTTCTTTGTGGCCTTGGATTCGAGCTCTTCGGCTGTATGTAGACGCAAGATCGTGCTGAAAGGTAGTCATAACTGCGAGCGTGGCCAAGGATCACCATGTGCGGCATGTATGGGACAACAAGTGGGTTGGGGAAAGATGCATGTGAAACACATTTTTATGTGCACAGAGGGAATCTTCTTGTGACCACGGATCGGCGCTCTTCGCATAGGGAAGCAAGAACGCACTGTGGGGTAGACTAGTAACTCGAGCGACGGTAAGAGCAACGGATACATTTGCGTTGTTTGACCCGCGCACCGAGAACAGACCGAGATCGACCCGCGGCGAAAATTTGCCAGTACTGGCGAGATTCTTGCACGCTCCAGTAGCTCGGTAAAGCGACCTAGGCCTACCCACTGCACAACAACCTCTTTTGTGGTGTTGGGTTTGGGTAAGTCTAGGGTTTGGGTTAGGGTTAGGGTTAGGGGTGGGTTAGGCCTAATAGTGAGACCTAGCGCCGTGGAACTGCCTGAGGGCTGGAAACCCGTTGTGGCTTTGGTTTCTCGTCTACCTCCAACCACAACCCAAAAATTGTTGAACGGGCGAGTGCAAGAATCTCGCCAGCGCTGGAGACCAAAGGTTATGACTCTTTTATTCTAACCGGTTAGAATAAAAGAGTCATAACCTTTGATGCGTTTCGCCGAGATCGAGGGGGGCGCCGTAGGCGGAGACAAGGTGGGGGGGGGTGGGCGAAATGTACAAAACAAATTGCGTGCTCCCTGTCCGGTGGAGAGCTGGCTACCCCCATAGAATTGCCATTCACAGCGTGGAGAGTCGCAGGGTGCTAAACTCTGCTTTTCAACGACCCAAGAGCTCACGCCCGCACAGCAGCAGCAGCAGCAGCAGCAGCAGCAGCAGAAGTGCCCAGGAGACGCCGGTTGCGAGGCATCAGCGACGACAATCAAAGCCCGATCTCGTCTCTGTCGTGCCGGTCTACCGCGGTCAGCGGAGGGTTTGTGGATACGAAGAACGGAGGATCATCATGAGCACTACTAGCGGATTTGGAGGAGGAGGTGAGTTGATGCAGGGGATGGAGGAGTCCCCGCCCCTGCTTGCTGGAGGAAGGACGTGTGCCTCGGTCGGCTTCGGTCGTTCTCGCGCATGCAAGACACACGAACACATGGATACCGTCCGCATGACGGGTTGTTGCGTNCTAGCGGATTTGGAGGAGGAGGTGAGTTGATGCAGGGGATGGAGGAGTCCCCGCCCCTGCTTGCTGGAGGAAGGACGTGTGCCTCGGTCGGCTTCGGTCGTTCTCGCGCATGCAAGACACACGAACACATGGATACCGTCCGCATGACGGGTTGTTGCGTTTCACCTGATGTTCTCGTTTTTGTTGCACCGTAGGTAAACCGCTGTTGGAGGTATCCTTGTTGTGAGTACTGTACTCTGGTGCGGACTGTAGCGGGCTAGCGAGAGCTCCCAGAACATATGCGAGGTGTCAGATGTTTTTGGGGTAGTTGTGCTTGAATCTTGCTAAAAGGAAGTCGAAGCGGACAGAGGACCATCGCTGCTACATACGTACGATATGCGCGGGCGCGGTCAGGTTGTCGGTCGTGACCACGGCTGTAGTCTACGGTAGTCTCGATGCACAGCGCCATGATCGTTCGCGCTCTGTGGTGTCGTCTGGTCGGACGGAACGTTAACCACTGTCTGGGCCTGCGTCGCATATGGCATCCATGTTGGCGGTCACTTCTTGACTATTTACCCAGTGCTCTGATGCTGCCGTGTAATGAGTCACCTTGGATAGACTAGACTACTGCTCTGCTGTATGCATAGATAGGCTAGACTACATAGTCTAGTCTAGTAGGCGAAAGTTGTCGCTGCAAAATACTGCTGTAGATTGCAACGGTTATTCACCTACTGGCAGATGTCCAGTCGCGTGTGCCATGTGTGCAATGAGCAGGTTGTGTGAATTGTACAGGTTGGACCCTGCGACCTCCGCGTGCGGGTACTATGGCCAGTGCATCGCGTCATAGTCTGAAGTTTGGTTTTGCCATTCAACTTGGATATGTGGGCACCTCGCATGTTGTTGTGTCATGCGTGTCCGGTATTGGCCGTACCACGGACTACAACCTGTACATCTACATGCATACAATCTTGGCCGTGTTGCGTCGTAGCTCTCACGCCTCTCTGCCATCCATATTCCAAGCGTTTCGGAAGCTGATGTGCATGTATCCAGTTTGCGTTGCTACAGCTTGCCAGCGGGCGTCGTATCTTTTCGTGGTTGTTGTTTTGTCGACGCTCTCTTCGGCGTCTCTATCGTTGCCGCACCGTCTCCATCTCCACATCCATGCGTTGTTTTGGTCGGGGTGTGCCTGCCTCTGTTTCTCGCCGTTACTTGATTTTGGACGCTGCTCTCGCATCGTTTGTTCGCTCATCCTTGCGCGGAACATACCAGTGAACGGGCTCACCGCCAGCCGCGAGAGGCAGACCGAGCCCAGGCACCGTGTGGCGGGGCACGACGTGGGGAGGGGAAAGGTGGAGCGAGTGGAAGATAAGGTCGTGGTGGGGAAGAAGGGGAGGATGGTCATGCTGGAAGTCACCCAAAAGCCACAGCAACAACGGCAGCAGCAGCAGCAGCAGCAGCAGCAGCAGCAGCAGCAGCAGCAGCAGCAGAAGAGGCACATGTCACCATCGCTGCAGGAGCAGCCGCCAATGCCGAGGTGAGAGTAGAGAACACTGTCAACCACGCATCACATTTCTTGGTCGAAACCGGTTGTTCGATTGAAGGCTTTGATACATACACAAGACCGCCGATGCGTCAAAAATACGCAAGATTTTGTCGGAAACGACATCGAGATTGCCCAGAGCGTTTGGGATCGATGAGTAAAATTTCGTTTTTTTTCCCGCCAGTTCGTCCTCCTCGGCTTCGCTTTGCCTTTTCCATGTTCGCTCTTGTGCGCGAACTACTGTACTTGGAGTTGTAGATCGAGGTGCAAGCCCCATCAGGTGTTTGGTCTGACACTGGTTGGTCGTTTGGGAGAAAATCCAGCTAGGAACCATTTGCTCGTCCCACTTTCTACCAATAAACCACGGTTTTTCCCGCGGCATCGC